AAAATAGGGTTTTGGGTGTTTTAGAAGCCTTGCTCCCTTAAATCATCTATGAAATTTTGATATAGGATGCACTTGATAGAGCTCTTCATTGACTATCTGAATCACTATTTGGATTTGAGTTAGATACTTGTTATTATTAAAAAAAATCAAAAATATGTTGTTCTTATAATTTTGTGCACTACTGTATCTAATAATTCTAATGATGTATGGATAACATCAATGCAACAAATGTGAACATTAATTAAACTATATCAAGAAAAATTTTCATCAATTATAGCATGAAAACTTCAGTATTCTATACAATCAACAGAACCATCAAATTTAAGCAGTCATTTAATATTTTTAGGTTATTTAGAACTATTAAAAGAAAAATATGGTCGTGTATATATGATTATTCAACGTTTAAATGAAGAAATGAATTCAACAGTTATTGAAAGTATTTCAGAATTTCATATGTATCTTTACTTAGCGCATACCAAAAATAGTGACGGAAGTAGCTTAATGCTGTATGGAAAATTTTCCAAACCTTTTTTTTTGTCTTTTATAAAAATTTCATCTAATATTTATTGTTTACAAAGAAATATGAAATAAATGATAATTATTGATTAAAACTATGTAGTTAGCTGAATAGATTTAACTAATTTGAAATAAATTGATTAAAATAAATATTTTCTATTGTAATGAACGATTTTATAGTGGACCTGTTCTCTGAAGTATTTGACGCCATTGTTCAAATAAATTTTTTGTTAAGTTAGCATTGTATACTTTCATATTTGAACTAACTTCTGTTAAATTAGTTGTTTTTAATTTAATAACAAGTTCATCAGTTGAATTAAAATAAATAATATGTGGCCATTGATAGAAATCAGAAAATTTCAACCAATAACGTATTGCATCTCGATCAAATTCATTATTAGGATCAGGTATATCAGGACCTAAAACACCTGATATTCTTGAAGCATTTTTTATATGTCCAGATATACCATCCCAAGTTCGTTCATTAACAACACGATATGTATAATGCCATTCAGTAAGAAGATCAAGTGATGGAAAAAATAATGGAATATTCATTCGATAATGTTCAAATAAACTCATAATAGATACTTGATATGGAATATGTATTATACCTGGATGTCGAGCTAATTGAATATATCGATAATGTCCTTTGTAAATATCTCGTAAATGACCAATCCGTACTGATATCTTTAAACGTTGAAATGAATCAGTTAATAGTGACATAAATTTCGAACGAAAATTTTTCGCATTCATATTAGCTATTATAAAAGGCTTTCGAATCACTGGCTTATATGACACTTTTGTATAAGCACATAATGATGATAATACAATGGTTTTTATACCAGTAAAATATCGAATATATTCAGCATCATAGAGATTATTACCAGCTATTACATTACTAATTAAAATAAAAGAATATCATTTAAAAATACAAATAAACTTTGAAACTTTTTTTCAAAACATACAACAATGGAAAACTATGACTAAGAATTTGCCAATAAAACTCTGTTTTTTTTTACATAGACAAATGCAAGAGTATTTCAACAATTCGAACTTTTAATAACCGCATATAGTAAATCATAAAATATGTGTCCTATTTCATATTCATATTTAACTCTTAGTGATACTGGATTATGCAGATCATTGAATGGAAATAACCTAGGAAAAAAATTTCGACCGTATTTTGATTGATAATCATAAAGTTTACTAAGATTACTTAAAAATAATTTTTATCTAGTTAAAAGAAACAAATCAAGACATTCCAGAAAAAATAAAACAATAGATTTTCAGTATCTCTGTTAGACTTTTTTTCTTGAAATAATCATCGCCATAATTTTTGTCAATTTTGAAAATAATTTTGTTTTCAATCTTATGTAAGTTAAACAAAGTGTACCAAAACATCGAGTTTCCGAATTTCATTCGGAATCTGGTTTTAAAGCACTATGCTGATTTGTCATACTTAGTCCGTACACTGATCGTGATGTGCATTGGGCACAATCCCATGCTGGTTGACATAGATAAATTTTTGTCGGTGCCTGTATGTTTATATGAAAAGTCTTTTATCTTATAAAAATAATTCATTAGTTTAGTTTTCAATGTGGATCTTATATTAAAATGCAATAGAATCAATTAAACACCTAAAACTTTTTTATGGTTATAAGGAATTCGATAAAATAAAGTTTTTAATTGAATGAAACAATACAAAAATTTTTGTGAAACACGATCTAAAAGGAGTGTTGAAATATATAGGGTAGAAATTTGGACCCCCCCCCCCCCCCACAGATGTGGCAGACACCTTAGCAACCATCACAGACTGTGACAGACATTTTATTAATTAGTTAGTTAATAGCTAATTAAGACCTCATTAATTATGGTTTGTGGCTAATTAATTAAGAGAGGGTCCATGAGCCCACCGCTAACATGGGCATTTGACAAATTTTGAAAGTACGATATTTTGGCACCAAATGAAAGAGCATGTTGGAAAACCTACAAATCCAAAATTTCAGCTCAATCCGAAAGAGCTTTGAGGAGTTATAAAGAAAACAATGACGATGAGTCAGGATGGTTTAGGTCAAAATATCAATTTTTTCATGTTGGCGATATTTTGTCGATTTCTCCTCAACATTACTAGCTATCTTTTATTGTAATATCTCAAAAGATAGAGAATTTTTTTCTCTATCGAACTGTATATATGGCATCTTTTTGAAAGTCTCATGAGGCTAAAGAGAATGGATATACTGAGGATGAACCGATAAAAAAATCGAATTTTTCAGCAGTATTTTGGGTAAAAATGGTCCAGGAAAGTTGTGTTCCATTTTTTTGATTCCAGATTCTGAAAGAGCGTGAAAAACTGCGTCGAATGATATATATTCCATTTTGATAACTGATTGATTTGATATCCA